ATACAGCATTTTTCTTGTTTACATGAATGTTTTTTTTCTTTTGTTCTGAAGTGTAAAAATAATAATTACAAAAATTGCAATTTGCTATATATTTTTAGTCACTGGCCAGAAAAGCCTCCCTTCAACAAACTCAAACTGGCCCACGGGCCACCAGTTGATAATCACAGTGGTAGCATGTTTTTTCAGCTCAGAACACTTTTTATCAGTGAGTCAAGGAGCAGAAATAGCTCTTTTGACAGTAAAGGTTGCAGACCCCTGTTCTAGATGATATACAGCAAGTGGAAAAGAAGTACACCTTTTTAAATTTTCATTTAAAACTTATGTATTCCTAGAAGGAAAGCTGGTTTCTGATTTAAACAATACCAAAGGAAAAGGTGAGTACATCTGTTTGTAGCTGCCTGATCCAGCTGCCTTGGGCTGCTCATCATAAACTTTGACCTTTCAGAATGTTGAGTCCTGATGCCAAGAGAACGGCTGCTCCAACACATCCGTGTCAGCAGAGGATGGGTGCATGAAGACAACTTTTAACAGCCTTTACTGCTGAATCTAAAGTCCTACAGGGTGTTTGAATAGGAATGTGCAACARAATGTATTAATTCTGCTTTGCAAAGTAAAACAAAACGAGTGTAATAAGAAGTACAATTTATACCAATAACTTTTATTGGTACTTGACCCTATATCAAGTTCAAGGACTCCAAAGCGCTTTGCACTACAGTCATTCACCCATTCACACATTAATATTGTTAACAAGAGCCATGCAAATTGTGCAGAAAAATAAAAACTAAAAGTATTTGACTCTGGCATTGTTTCAGAAATGAGCACGGCGCACACAAATGGACATGGTCCATGTTTATAATTTTCTGCATCTTTGCATTTGTGTGAACTGTCTTTTGGTTGACAGCTCAGTGAACTGCAARCTCATGATCATGAATAATCCATCTTATCATGTTTCGAGCTTTCAGAATCACTGGTTCCATAACATTATCTGGAAAGCTGAGTTAATCTTTCTTGTACTATGGTAACTAAGGTTGGGAAATATGGATGAAAAATAAATTACGATTAGCTTTTCATTTCAGTATGTAGATCATTTTTGATTTGTTTTACCTATTTGAAATAAGGACCAGGAGAAAAAAGCTGAWTAATTTTGTCTGGTGATTAAACTGGTGATTTCCTCTTTCCTCTTTTATCCACAATTTCCTCTCGAGCTGTTGCACTCTTTTTCTCCTTTTACTGCACGTCGTTTTTTCTTATTTTTAAGCAGTTATGAGGAAAACATGAAACTGCTGCTGTGCATGTTACTCAGCAGGTTGTTGCTAGCTTACCAAAGAGTGAGKTAGTTGATGTCACCAACCTTGATGGGCTGTGAGAGGTCAAGCAGCTAAGAATGCTGTGCAGTGAAATTATTAAAATTCTATTGGACAAACTTTTTATTGATACTGATCATGTGTCTATYGTGATAAATATTGTTACTGAATAACTTTGAGCCCCTTTTCCAAACTCAAAATGCACCAAAAACAACACGCTACAACCATGACACAAGTCTCACCTTAGCKGAAGTCTCAAACCAGCCCACAAAGCCATAGTCTTTGCAGAACTGGTCCATCTTGATGCCATTGTTGGTCAGCTCCCTGCCCTGATCACACTTGTTAACCAGCAGCACCGTTGCGATGCTCTGTCCGTTAGTCAGCATCACTTTAGAATCCAGGTCCTCCTTCCATTTAATGACGGCCTCGAAGGTCGTGGGTCGCGTGACATCGAACACAATGAAAGCTCCCATGGCTTCACGGTAATACACTCGTGTCATGTTCCCAAAACGTTCCTGACCTGTAGTGAGCAAACACACACTCAGGACGCCTCATGCATTAGTTTGGCAACATACCCAGGCATGATTCTGATGTGAGACCTTCATTGTTTTCCCTTTTTTTTCCCGCAGAAAAACAGCTAACGCGGCTGGCATTAGGTCTGCAGTCAGCTGTGACAGCAATTCCATGAAGCAACACATTCCAGAGGTCTTACTGCTCTTAATGCTACTCATTTGTGTTTGGATGGAGATTTCATATAACCTGCAGCTTGAAGGCAGAGTGAAAGGACGAATGGTTTCTGAGTTCATGCATGTGTGCAAAGAAAATTGAAATTTGCTGCTGAATGAGGCGTTCGTTGTCAGCGGGGCATCCCCTCAGGTTGTCTGTGTAATATGAGTTCTCCATTGGTCTACAAATGAATGTGTAGGTGTGTTTCCTTTTCCCTGATCATCGCAGACCTCTGCAGTTTTCAAGGCGAAAATACGACAGAAATATTACGGAACGAGAGAGGCATCGTTTCCTTTTTTTTTAGCTTTGCTGGACGGACAAGAGGAAATGCAAAGTTGGCATGTCTTCCTTTTTTTTATGAAACAAGAAAGCTTTGATTGCTCTGGTGTGACAGGAAAACACAACACACGTGTTTCTTGAAACTGCACCATCCAATAAACCAAAAGTACAATTGTCAGCTGTTATTTGACCCGGGTGACATACAGTATAACAAATTTATTCTGTTATAAAACAAAAACTTTTCATGGCTTCGTGTGTTTGTGACCAAGCAATTCTCTGGTATTTATTTGTTTAGGCTTCATTCCTGAGACTAACTGACCTTTAGGTCTCCCTCAAACGGGCTTGAATCACATGCTGAAACTTAAAAAATAAATAAAATTAACTGAGGAAACAGTGTGCTGTTCTGTGTGTGTGAGTGTGTGTAAGAGAATACACTCTGTCAGATGTCCTCTCCAGAGTGACGCTGCATATTTACATTGTGCCTCATTACAAATGTGACACATTGCTGTTGGCTGAAAGATAAGTGTTATCAACCCAAACTATCAACTTTTAGGGAACTAAACATTACTCAGTAGTTTCACTTCAACACATTCCTTGTTCTTACACATTATATAGATTAAAGCCAGAACCAGTGCAGAATACAACCATCACACTCAGGACTGGTTAACTGGCTGAGAAATCATGAGTTTCTTCACCTGCGATGTCCCACAGCTGGAGCCGGACGGYCTCCGAGTCCCAGTTTAGGACTTTCAAGGCGAAGTCGACCCCGATCGTTGCCCTGTAGTTGGAGGAGAAGGTCTGGTGCACGTAGCGCCGTATGATGGAGGTCTTCCCGACCCCCAGGTCTCCGATAACCAGCACCTTGTACAGGTGCTCCTTCCGGAGAGGCTGCATGCCGTTGGAGAGGGACGTGTGATTGGTCATTTCCAACCTGTCGGAGTTCAGAGCTTCCAGGAAGTTTTTTTTATTTTTAAATAATTTTTCAAAAAAAAAAAAATTACTCGCTTTTACCGAGTGACTGTGTTTCGAGACTAGTGTGATCCCGTGTGTCTCCCTCTGGGTGAGCTGTGGATCCGCCCTCCTTGTCCTTGGAAGCTTGTGACTAAAGTTTWGCAGCGCGCGGAGGAGCTGCTGAAGGCGCGCTCCTGGCCAGTTCATCTGGAGTAGATATTTGCAGCTTACAGCTACTAATTGCTCTCCGACTGGTGTGTTAAGATGCAATGCGCTAAAAAAATGGTTTCTGAGCACTCATTATAACGAACAGTCACAATACACTGTAATGAACTTTACATGACATCTATGAATGAACTTAATTGGCATTTAAAGAGCCAAAACATTTACCAGCATTTTCTAAAACAGGAAATATGGGGGTGGGGGTGGGTTCCTGTTACCTAATTGCTTAATAAATRAACGGGGCATTCAAACTAATCTCATTGGGACAGCTGAAACACTTCAGACACACAGACTGTATATATAAAACACCATCTAACACTAACAAATCTGTAAAGTCGAGCCTGTTCCCAGAAACTGTAGTATATATATATA